TCACTGCCAACACAGCGGTGGGTTTGTACTTCATTTTCATTACAGATTCCAAACACCCTTCGGCCCACATCTGGAAAAAGAAAGAAATAAAAAAAGGTTAATATCTTGATGTTAATTTGTACAAAAAAGGAAGAAATGTTAATCGAAAAAGTTGAATAAGGAGCCTAAATCTCTGGCAACACAACCAACCACCTACTAGAAATCTGAACGAGCAGCCTGACCACTTTTACCCTGGAGCGATGCGAAGCCTCTTCGATCAGACTTGGCGTCATCGACACGACAACAACGAAGTACTCCCCCCAGGCTCGCATTTCGGAGACGACGTAACTCCCGTTGGCCGCGGCGCCGCTCAGGGCTTCACTCACTGCGTTTCGAGCCAGGGTATTGCGAACAGAAACGACCGGGCTTAGGACCAGTGACCCAAGATTCTCCGTAACATTCCTTAAGTACCTGTAGGAAGTTCTTGCAAGTCTCAAAACTACTGGCACCACCTCGTGGGGCTCCGGCTGCCGCGTCACTTCAGAGTGCCAGCCAGAGAGACACTCCCGACTGAAGGCAATCTGCAATGAAAAACAAATTTTAATAATATACATGCATCTATTGAACTTGTGCATTGTATCTTATGATATAATATATAGATATTGTATACACTATTTATTCATACACACACACACATGCATGCACGTATGTATGCATGTATGTATATACACACATGCATGTATGCATGTATGCATGTATGTATGCATGTATGTATATATTCACATGCATGTATGTATATACACACATGCATGTATGCATGTATGCATGTATGTATATACACACATGCATGTATGCATGTATGTATGCATGTATGCATGTATGCATGTATGCATGTATGTATATACACACATGCATGTATGCATGTATGCATGTATGTATATACACACATGCATGTATGCATGTATGTATATACACACATGCATGTATGTATATACACACATGCATGTATGTATATACACACATGCATGTATGTATATACACACATGCATGTATGCATGTATGTATATACACACATGCATGTATGTATATACACACATGCATGTATGTATATACACACATGCATGTATGCATGTATGTATATACACACATGCATGTATGCATGTATGTATATACACACATGCATGTATGCATGTATGTATATACACACATGCATGTATGCATGTATGTATATACACACATGCATGTATGCATGTATGTATATACACACATGCATGTATGCATGTATGTATATACACACATGCATGTATGCATGTATGTATATACACACATGCATGTATGCATGTATGTATATACACACATGCATGTATGCATGTATGTATATACACATGCATGTATGCATGTATGTATATACACACATGCATGTATGCATGTATGTATATACACACATGCATGTATGCATGTATGTATATACACACATGCATGTATGCATGTATGTATATACACACATGCATGTATGCATGTATGTATATACACACATGCATGTATGCATGTATGTATATACACACATGCATGTATGCATGTATGTATATACACACATGCATGTATGCATGTATGTATATACACACATGCATGTATGCATGTATGTATATACACACATGCATGTATGCATGTATGTATATACACACATGCATGTATGCATGTATGTATATACACACATGCATGTATGTATATACACACATGCATGTATGCATGTATGTATATACACACATGCATGTATGCATGTATGTATATACACACATGCATGTATGCATGTATGTATATACACACATGCATGTATTGTATATACACACATGCATGTATGCATGTATGTATATACACACATGCATGTATGCATGTATGTATACACACACATGCATGTATGCATGTATGTATATACACACATGCATGTATGCATGTATGTATATACACACACATGCATGTATGCATGTATGTATATACACACACATGCATGTATGCATGTATGTATATACACACACATGCATGTATGCATGTATGTATATACACACACATGCATGTATGCATGTATGTATATACACACACATGCATGTATGCATGTATGTATATACACACACATGCATGTATGCATGTATGTATATACACACATGCATGTATGCATGTATGTATATACACACATGCATGTATGCATGTATGTATATACACACACATGCATGTATGCATGTATGTATATACACACACATGCATGTATGCATGTATGTATATACACACACATGCATGTATGCATGTATGTATATACACACATGCATGTATGCATGTATGTATATACACACATGCATGTATGCATGTATGTATATACACACATGCATGTATGCATGTATGTATATACACACATGCATGTATGCATGTATGTATATACACACATGCATGTATGCATGTATGTATATACACACATGCATGTATGCATGTATGTATATACACACATGCATGTATGTATGTATGTTTATTCACACATGTATGAATGTATGTGTATTATTTATACACTAATTTATGTTTATATACACATATACATGTAAATATATGTACATGTATATAGGTATACTCATAAAATGGCTGCATGCAAATGGAGCGTTCGCAACAAGCCCAGAGCCACAAGCAAGTGCCTGCTTTCCCCAAGTGAGAGCGTGCGGCGCCTCCCTTACCAGGACGCTGCCCGATGCATCCCTGGCGTCACAGGCGTCGGCGTCGGCGTGGTGCGGGTGCGCGAGCGAATGCAACGCGCGGGCCAGACGCCGCCTCGTCTTGCTTGCCAGCGCGATCACCTTTACGCCCACCGTTGCATCGCGCCCATCTGTAGGCGACATAAGCTGTTACGCCTAAGGAAACAACTCGCCCTTTGTACAAGCATCAGACATTGCCTCGTATATTCAACCTTTCGCCCACAACAGCTGCTTCTCCGCCAACAAACTTATCTCACGGCCATGTCCCATACTGCAAGTTCACACACACACACTTTATGAACCGCTGAATGTTTAGACCTCTGGGGATGGTTTATGCGACAGAGCGGAGTTTTGGACAGAATCACCCGGCTTCTAGAGCATCACTCCCTGATGGTAAACATAACCAAATATAAAAAAACATACAACACTAAAATTAGCCATTTTCTGTTCTAGGGCACAGCTAATGGATTTGTTAATCTGGGATTTACTTGATCAGAGTTTGGATTTCTGCAACTGCGAGAAAAAAAAATCTTGAAACTTCACTGACAATGAGTAGAAGACCTTGATTTATGGGCCTTTCATAAACACACTGCTTGTGCGATTAGCATCCGTCATATTGTATATATCAATGGCATTTCAGTTTTAAAATTATATTTTTTTTCCGTTACCAGAGACGAAAACATCGAATTCCTCTTAATCTGGTTCCATGATTTTTTCCGCTTTCTGCATAACGACTGTTGAAGATTTCTGGGGAATTATGGATATCACATATTTGAAGAGACTTATCCGCAATTCTCACTTCAAATTTATATCGGGATGACAGGCATCGATTTACACATGCATATTCAACAACTATTTGTTAGCACAGGCCCAAGGGTATTTCCCATTATAATACGTGCAGGCTCACAAACCTGCATTTCCATGGCGCCCTTCATGGCTCAGCCACCAAGGAGTCAATTAGTAACCTACGGGACCTCATCTGAATTTCCTCGAATGTGTTTTTTCTGATACCATTGTCCCATTGATATCAATGCCGTTATTACTATTATTGCCGTTATGCAAATGCGATTAATAAAGTAAACCCACTATAGGCATGGCAGGTACGAATATCCCACCCCCGACAGCTATGGTTATTTCTACATAATATGGCTCTATAATTAATCCATCAGTAGCTATCATCATCGAAGCTACACGTAAGGCAGCTCGCTCTTACACGGACAAGTTCTACATCACACCTGCTTTACAGCTTTTCTCGTTTAAGCTTCAATAGATTATTTATATTCCAAGTGGCGTCACAACCTGACTGACCTGTGTCATGAAGGTCGCCCTCGCGGGGTGGCAAGTAGGCGTCGACCAGCGTGTGGGCGGTGGTGAGCACCCGCTCCGCAGCGCCCGCGGCAACTCGCCCGCCCCGACTCGCTGCGATGACGTCAACCTGAAACGCACCAAAGGCTTGTTCGGCCGCTCAGCGAGCACGGTAATCTGACGCGCCGTCATATTGATTCGCCTAATCTCATTAACCGGGCAACCGCTTTAGGCAGGAGAAAACCTCCGATAATCTATTGAGAATGAATGCAAGAAGGATTCATATTACTGCATGCAAATCACTATTTCTAACATTCTGTAAAAGAAACATACATACATACAGCATGTGTGTAGTTAAAAATACACAATGATATAGAACAGAGCTTCCCAATTCAGAAAATAGTGCTAGTGCCGTAGTAATGACGCTGTCATTATGTGCAGATGACACTGTCGGTATAATTGCTCCCCGCCCCTCTCGCCTCGCCCACGCCCATCCCTCTCGCCTTGCCTCGCCTTGCCTCGCCTCGCCCACGCCCACGTCCATCCCTCTCGCCTTGCCTCGCCTCGCCCACGCCCACATCCATCCCTCTCGCCTTGCCTCGCCTCGCCCACGCCCACGTCCATCCCTCTCGCCTTGCCTCGCTTCGCCCACGCCCACGTCCATCCCTCTCGCCTTGCCTCGCCTCGCCCACGCCCACGTCCATCCCTCTCGCCTTGCCTCGCCTCGCCCACGCCCACGTCCACCCCTCTCGCCTCGCCTCGCCCACGCCCACGTCCATCCCTCTCGCCTCGCCTCGCCTCGCCTCGCCTCGCCCACGCCCATCCCTCTCGCCTCGCCTCGCCCACGCCCGCCCCTCTCGCCTTGCCTCGCCTCGCCCACGCCCACGTCCATCCCTCTCGCCTTGCCTCGCCTCGCCCACGCCCACGTCCATCCCTCTCGCCTTGCCTCGCCTCGCCCACGCCCACGTCCATCCCTCTCGCCTTGCCTCGCCTCGCCCACGCCCACGTCCATCCCTCTCGCCTTGCCTCGCCTCGCCCACGCCCACGTCCATCCCTCTCGCCTTGCCTCGCTCGCCCACGCCCACGTCCATCCCTCTCGCCTTGCCTCGCCTCGCCCACGCCCACGTCCATCCCTCTCGCCTTGCCTTCGCCTCGCCACGCCCACGCCCACGTCCATCCCTCTCGCCTTGCCTCGCCTCGCCCACGTCCACGTCCATCCCTCTCGCCTTGCCTCGCCTCGCCCACGTCCACGTCCATCCCTCTCGCCTGCCTCGCCTCGCCCACGTCCACGTCCATCCCTCTCGCCTCGCCTCGCCCACGCCCACGTCCATCCCTCTCGCCTCGCCTCGCCTCGCCCACGCCCATCCCTCTTGCCTCGCCTCGCCCACGCCCGCCCCTCTCGCCTCGCCCACGTCCATCCCTCTCGCCTTGCCTCGCCTCGCCCACGCCCACGTCCATCCCTCTCGCCTTGCCTCGCCTCGCCCACGCCCACGTCCATCCCTCTCGCCTTGCCTCGCCTCGCCCACGCCCACGTCCATCCCTCTCGCCTCGCCCCGCCCACGTCCATCCCTCTCGCCTCGCCTCGCCTCGCCTCGCCCACGCCCACGTCCATCCCTCTCGCCTCGCCTCGCCCACGCCCATCCCTCTCGCCTCGCCTCGCCCACGCCCATCCCTCTCGCCTCGCCTCGCCCACGCCCATCCCTCTCGCCTCGCCTCGCCCACGCCCATCCCTCTCGCCTCGCCTCGCCCACGCCCATCCCTCTCGCCTCGCCTCGCCTCGCCCACGCCCACCCGTTGCTATTCTTAATTTACATACATTTGTACACAGCCCAAATGCAAGGTTCGCCTTGTTTGATGAGAATATTAACATTCATCTAAGAGGACATGATATTAACTCCATAGTATAAAAGACTAATATTGAACTAATTGACTAATATTGAAATAGAGCGGAAATCAGAACACACATGTTTAGAGTTCACATTGACCACAGGCGCATTTCTGACGAGAAACAAGCAGTTGCTTGGTTCGGTTTGCTTTGCCTTGCTGAATTCGTCAAACCAGGCCTAACACCCACCTTGCTATCAGTGTAAACAACCAACAAATGTGATGACTCATTGAACCGATGAGGAAGTCGTTTCTCACTTCCGAATAAATTCATGGCAAAAAGATATTTGTAACCAATACTTATCCCCCTGGAGAATAATAAAGCTTTAACCTCTGTTAATAATTCTGGTTGGCACAAATCTACTTAAAACTTGGTAGTTTTATAATATTATTTGCGACGAAAGTAAATTATGACAAGAATATCACTAATTAATTGGCAATGTCCATTTTGCTCTATCTGCGTGCGTCGCTCTCGGTAACATTAACCAAACCTGCAATCAGTGCTTAAATGATATGCAAAGGGAAAGGCCAATACAGGCAACAGACAGTATTAAAAGCATTTGTCCTTTTGGAAGTTTAAGCTGTAAGCAGTATAGCTCAGAAAAAATATTAATATTCGATTAGAAAATTGTGGCAGGAAAGGTCTTTCTTCATATACTTCAGGCTTTTAATTCTGAAAATTAAAAAGTTGCAAAATAAAACATTAACTCACTTTTTTACCATCGTTTGTTTGAAGTCTTATATTGTTTTAAGTGAATACACTTGTTACCAGATAATATACCAGTTCGATAAGCTTTGGGTGGCCGCGAGTTTATTCAACCAGCTGTACACACCCACACAGTGCACTTGTTGCCTTTTAAAAACTCTCTAACCATTGTAATTATGGGCCTTTTTATTACACTAATACATCTCAGACTTGTTTGCTCTTTCAGCGCACATTATAAGAACCTATTGAAATATCTGTTTTGTTAAGGCCTCTTTCTGGGGTTCACATTCTTCAAGAAAGCAAGAACTCTTGCAATCTCATCGACAGAACGTTTGCGGTTGAAACAAGCGGTCGCCAGAAATTCTCGATCTGAGATTTTGCGATTAACACTGTCTCGGTCTGTCCACGTGGGGTAATTCTCGAATGTAGTAGATATGAATTTTGAAATACTATGAAAAAACACGGTATAATTGGAGGCTATCTGTCAAATATCCAAACCCTTTCATATTGTTTCTTTTTGAGCTTCTCACACACAAAAGATCGTCACCCAGAACCGCGGTTGGTTGGTCCGCTAGCTCCCTTGCACTTGTCTTGGCAGATGTAAACAAACCAGTGATGGCGATGAGTGACGATCTTTTCTCCATGACTGAGGCCGAGTCAAGTGATTTTCCTGTTTTATGAAACAAAGAAAAACACGTATTACATACATAGATGTTTGGTTAAACACTGAGGCCTCCAGACCAGCAATCCAGGTCCAGGACAAGTGTGAACTCACGGTGTCGTTGGCCCGCGACGTGATGGCGGCGGAGAGGGAGGGGGGCGGAGCGTCCTTCCCCGCCACGGCGCTGAGCACCCGACGGCGCGCTGAGCTCACGATCTGTGTTGGTCATGTCAGACAAGGGCAAGGTCAGCATTTCAAGATATCAAAGAAAGTAACGGTGGAGAAATTATGAACCTTCGTTCGCTCGAGCAATTAAATGTAAAGAATTATTCAATTGCTTTCATGTTGCTTTGGATTGAGAAAATTAAACGAGGGAGAGAGCCAGGAAAGGAAGGAGGGAGGGAGGGAGGGAGAGAGAGAGCAGGAAGGGAGGGAGGGAGGGAGGGAGAGAGAGAGAGCCAGGAAGGGAGGGAGGGAGGGAGGGAGGGAGGGAGGGAGGGAGAGAGAGCCAGGAAGGGAGGGAGGGAGGGAGGGAGGAGAGGAGAGAGAGCCAGGAAGGGAGGGAGGGAGGGAGGGAGGGAGGGAGGGAGGGAGGGAGAGAGAGCCAGGAAGGGAGGGAGGGAGGGAGGGAGGGAGAGAGAGAGCCAGGAAGGGAGGGAGGGAGGGAGGGAGGGAGAGAGAGAGAGCCAGGAAGGGAGGAGGGAGGGAGGGAGGGAGAGAGAGAGAGAGAGAGCCAGGGAGGGAGGGAGGGAGGGAGGGAGGGAGGGAGGAGAGAGAGAGCCAGGGAGGGAGGGAGGGAGGGAGGGAGGGAGAGAGAGAGAGAGCCAGGGAGGGAGGGGAGGGAGGGAGGGAGGGAGAGGAGAGAGAGAGAGAGAGAGCCAGGAAGGGAGGGAGGGAGGGAGGGAGAGAGAGAGAGAGAGCCAGGAAGGGAGGGAGGGAGGGAGGGAGGGAGGGAGAGAGAGAGAGCCAGGAAGGGAGGGAGGGAGGGAGGGAGGGAGAGAGAGAGAGCAGGAAGGGAGGGAGGGAGGGAGGGAGGGAGGGAGAGAGAGAGAGCCAGGAAGGGAGGGAGGGAGGGAGGGAGAGAGAGAGAGAGAGCCAGGAAGGAGGGAGGGAGGGAGGGAGGGAGAGAGAGAGAGAGAGCAGAAGGGAGGGAGGAAGGGAGGGAGGGAGGGAGGGAGGGAGAGAGAGCAGGAAGGAGGGAGGGAGGGAGGGCAGAGGAGAGAGAGCAGAAGGGAGGGAGGGAGGGAGGGAGAGGAGAGAGAGCCAGGAAGGGAGGGAGTGTGAGGGAGGGAGAGAGAGAGAGAGATGAGCCAGGAGAGGAGGGAGGGAGGGAGGGGAGGGAGAGAGAGAGCCAGAAGGGAGAGGAGGGAGGGAGGGAGAGAGAGCCAGGGAGGGAGGAGGGAGGGAGAGAGAGAGAGCCCAGGGAGGGAGGGAGGGAGGGAGAGAGAGAGAGCCAGGAGGGAGGGCGGGAGGGAGGGAGGGCAGGGAGGAGGGAGAGGAGAGAGCCAGGAACGGAGGGAGGGAGGGAGGGAGAGAGGAGAGAGCAGACGAGAGGGAGGGAGGGAGGAGGAGGGAGGGAGAGAGAGAGAGCCAGGAAGGGAGGGAGGGAGGGAGGGAGAGAGAGAGAGAGAGCCAGGAAGGAGGGAGGGGAGGGAGAGAGGGAGAGAGAGAGAGAGAGCCAGGAAGGGAGGGAGGGAGGGAGAGAGAGAGAGCCAGGAAGGGAGGGAGGGAGGGAGAGAGAGAGAGAGCCAGGAAGGGAGGGAGGGAGGGAGAGAGGGAGAGAGAGAGAGAGAGCCAGGAAGGGAGGGAGGAGGGAGGAGAGAGAGAGAGCCAGGAAGGGAGGGAGGGAGGGAGAGAGAGAGAGCCAGGAAGGGAGGGAGGGAGGGAGAGAGAGAGAGAGCCAGGAAGGGAGGGAGGGAGGGAGAGAGAGAGAGAGAGCCAGGAAGGGAGGGAGGGAGGGGGAGAGAGAGAGAGCCAGGAAGGGAGGGAGGGAGGGGGAGAGAGAGAGAGCCAGGAAGGGAGGGAGGGAGGGGGAGAGAGAGCCAGGAAGGGAGGGAGGGAGGGGGAGAGAGAGAGAGCCAGGAAGGGAGGGAGGGAGGGGGAGAGAGAGAGAGCCAGGAAGGGAGGGAGGGAGGGAGAGAGAGAGAGAGCCAGGAAGGGAGGGAGGGAGGGAGAGAGAGAGAGAGCCAGGAAGGGAGGGAGGGAGGGGGAGAGAGAGCCAGGAAGGGAGGGAGGGAGGGGGAGAGAGAGCCAGGAAGGGAGGGAGGGAGAGAACAACCCGAACAACTATGTAAGAGTATATAACATCCATCCATCCATTTATCCATCCAACCACCCTACGTATTCGCATTACATTCGTACCTCATTCGTTGGCTTGGTGATGATGGGCGCTGCCTCCTCGACGCGATCCAGACCGCGACATGCCCACTCGTCCAGGGCGCCCCAGCCTCCGACGCGGTCCACGAGGGGGTGCAGAAGGGGCTTGGCCAGAGGGAGCGCGCCCTCGGTGGCCACCCGGATGCCTGCCTCTGCTACCCGCAAAGCAGTTCCCACATACTGATGTCGGTCCTGGTGACATTATGTTCACTTAATGACATATCGCACATTCTCAAAAATTACATTATAATGATTCGCTCAGAATCCCTGTTCCTGCATAACTGACAATGCAGGCGTCAGGCAACGCAATCTACATTTTCCCGTTGATTTAGCCTTAATAATGATAAAACGCCAAGAAAGTTTTCACAAAAAAAAGGTAAATTTCCAGTTTCATCCAGCCTCCGACTTTCGAAACCATTTTTTGGGGATGTATTCTCCCCTCGCAGTTTAACGCTGTTAAGCTGTAGGTTCCCGTCGCATTTGACTCGTTAATGAGTAGCGCAACTTGTATGTCCCGACGGCAAAGTTGATAAAATGTGTAAAAATCGGCTTCGCACTGTATTTAGGGGAGGAATTAGCATGATTTACACACAAAAACAGAACAAAAACACTAAAATAACTTAAAATCGGGTTTGCTAAAACTCTACGGTACAGGTGCCATGTTTCACCTATGCAATAACGGTATACAATTCTGCGGTTAAATCAGGGATTATTTTTTGCCGGAATGACGCACAATATAAATGAATCAAATCATGATTGGGCAAACGCAAATTTTTACTATGCGTCTCGAAAGTTTCGTGATGACCGTTTCAAATTTATAAATAAGGTTTTATTCAGTTCCTCAAATAACGGTATTTTACTGATTGACTGCGTTAACAAATACAAAGCACACTCCCCCCCCCCCCCCCCCGAAAAAAACGGCCACAATACCACACGTGTCGATCTTCACTATATTTGCAAGGTAAATCGCAATGTGGGCAACTCACCGACCTGGGCAAAACACCGTTGCCCTAAGAAATTTTATAGTTTTTTCATCATTTCCAAAATAATCCGATACGACTTTCTAGTAATTGGGACTGCAACCCCCGTACCTTTCGTCCTCCATTTTGCTAAAGAGGTATTACATTGGTTTTATTTCAACACTATACATACCTATCACACAAATGGCGCCGTGTGATTGGTTAAACATATTCCATGTAATACAATTGGCTCTCGTGACATTGTCACGCGCATGCGGTGTACTATCTCATTTCAAAAGGTTTCGCGTGCACTTGGTACGCCAACATTAGATTTCAAATTTCCCGCGCACTTCTTCAGGCCCCTCTTGCCCGTAATATGAGGCAGACATCGATTTGCGCCGAGTAAGATTTATATTGCTTACTGTAAATAATCGTTATTATCATTGTAATACTCTTGTAATGTCATTTTTTTAGACAAAGAAAATGTCCTTCATACAAGTTGATGTGGACTTTTTCAACGAAATAAAATAGAAATATTGTGATAAATGTTACAAAATAGAACGGCATCACTGTTTTGTTTACAAAAAATAGGAATGGATATCGGAGGACGATTTTTAAAATATTGAGATTTCATTTCGGGCTCTGACACTTGCGTGTCCAATAACTTCATTATTTCTGATTTGCGATGGAAGTTCATAGAAGATAAGTTTCTTAGATTTATTTGCTCTATCGTTTGCATATATTATTTTCTATATGAAAGACGGCTGGATGGAACTGGACCCATACCTGTTTGCAGAGCCCCAGAGTGGCTGCAGCAATAGGGACTTGAGAGAGTGCGGTCACATCGCAAACAATTTGCGATGGAAAACAATAATATATCGCATATATTACACAGTGAATAACTGAAACGAGGAATAATTGCAAGGTTGGATTCCTGTGTGAAACAAACGTACCCAAAAATACTTCAACACTTAATTTTCCAATATCTTTAATCGCCATTTTTAAACGTGTTTACTCGTAAGGAAATATTGGTCAATATGTAGTATAAGGTAGTGGCACAGTTGGGTAATAAGACCTACATGAAATGACAGAACAATACCCTGCAAACATAGCCGTACGAATCACAAACCTTCCTTCCCAGGGGGCTTCGGCCGCAGACCCCCAACCTTTCGCTGCATTTCCCTAATGCCGTGGACCTCCTCTCCGCGCAGCATCTGTCGTAACCTGTTTTCCTAATTTCTGGCGTTATTATATTCCATGTATCAGTGAATGTTGTTTTTCCCTTTCTTTATGACAGTGTAATTAGATTTTCCCTATGTTAGTAGCCATCATGCAAAGTCATTAACCATGGTTATTGTTACCGAGAGCGACGCACAGAGATAAGGGAAATGGACACTGCCGTCTTATAGAACATAAGATAGTGTGATAAACAACATAGGTGCAGCTGATCCGGCCTCATTTACCGCGAAATGACAAAAAAAAAAAATATCCGCTGCATATCACCGCTCATCTCGCAGCCAAAGTTCTTAATGTCGAGTGGTCAGTATGTAGTATGTAGAAGAGGGCAGTGGGTTACTTTCGAAACAATTTTGATATTTTTCTGCACGAAATCCACTGCTTTCAACGATTCCAGACGTTGTGCCTTGTGCAAATGAATCGTTGAGGAGATATGATCATCTCCATCGACAATCTCGATTTGATAATCCCGATAGCAGGGGAGGAGGGCATGAAGTATACCAGGGAAATCATGTGGTAAAACCCCATCGTAGTTGTTAAACAAAACGTCCTAACCCAACATCTAACCTAACCTAACACCGTGGTATATATTCCCTAGCGCTATTTCCCCGTGGTAATATATATGCCTAGTCAGGCGGCTACGCCCCCTAGCCACCGTGGTAGTATTATGCATCTAGAATTCACCCTCGCAATGTAAACAAGATGAGCGACTTACCTAAAATTGGGGGATCTTCTCTTTTCTTTTACCCAACTCTGCCACTACCTTATACTACATATTGTCCGATTGCAAGATTGGATGGCTGTGTGAAACAAAAAAAATATCGCATGGCCCTCCGCCTGTTGCCACAAAAAACAAATACCCAGAATCAATTAAACACGTCATGGCGGGAAAACTTACTTGGGTGGTCTTGTAGGCCTGGGAAACGAGGGTGATGGTGTCGCTGAGCACAGGCAATAGCAAGACTCTCTCAAAAAAGCCTTCTGCGGCCGGTGACGCATCATTCGAGTTTGGAGCCATTTCTAGAAAATATGAAGTAATATTAAAGTAAGATTAAGAAAGTAATGCGAAGAAATGTCAGCTTAATGAACCACCAAGTATTTCCTATTACTTAGATTTCGCTATATTCAGCCAAAATGGCTCCTCGGGATTCCTCTGTAATCACGAAATCAAGCGCACTTTTAGTTCACCGTTCGAAAACTGGGCAGAGACTGGTCACTGGCCTCTCACTGAACCATGTATCGGTAAGTATGGCCGGCTCGTGTTGCTAGTTACTTGTTTTATGTGAGGCATCATAGGAAATTATTAAAGATATTGTTCACGTCCTATGTGTTAATTCTATTTTGTAACAAATCAGTGCACAGATTACAAATAATAATTATCAGGAAATAGTGTCTTCCACGAAACATCGAATTATCACAATAACAAGGCTTAACAACTGTCCCTGAAATGTTAGACATGTCGCCATTTAGGATCCGGGGCTTTCTAGGCTTATCGCAGAGATTTTATCCAATTTCAAGTGTCGTGGCTTGAGGGTGCCATTTTCAGTCTCCTAGGGAAGTATTTAAAGCAACAAATAGCGTTCCGCTGCAAGTCAAACAATAGCAAAATTAATCATTCTGCTTCTCTCCCTCCCTCCCTCTCTCTCCCCCCTCCCTCCCTCCCTCTCTCTCTCTCCCTCCCTCCCTCCCTCCCTCCCTCCCTCCCCTCTCTCTCTCTCCTCTCTCTCCCCCTCCCTCCCTCCCTCCTCCCCCCTCTCTCTCCCTCTCCTCCCCCCCTCTCTCTCTCTCATTACATATGTAGTACATACATTCAAATTAATACACTAAATGGTGTTCATACTGCACATGAATCATGCCTTGAAAGCGTAAATCCGTAGCCACCCGTGACCGACGGACGGTGTATACAGGTAATCCTCCGTATACCAGGATGGCCATATTTACCCAAGGTAAACAGCGAGGTCGGCTTGACTTTCTCTTTGACATGATGTTATCTCCCATCGGAGGAACTAGACAAGGTAGAGTGATGGGACGAAGAAACATTTTTGTTGCTATTTCCTTTTGTAACCACCGAACAAGCAAATGCATTCGTGCTGTTGTTAATACATACATAAATATTAGTTTGTCGTAAGCCTCTAAAGCCTTATATGCTTATTCGAAGCATTATATTACTTATACTACCTCATCGTCCAATGCATTTTCTATTTATCAGTTTATCAACCTTCGGTTCTGTTAATCTGACTGACTGGCTACCTCCAAGACTCCAGGCTGTCAGCTTATCGTTCATACATACATATTATTGTAAACAAGAGTGCGGTGGGCGAGGGAATAACCCCCCCCCCAGTTTATGAAGGGCCACAAACCGCTGGTCTGACTATCGACAGGAAATAACTTGGCAGTATACAAAAGGTATTTAAATCTCGGCTGGAAATAAAGAAGCAGTATGCAAATAAGTATTAAATCTCCACTTCAAACGTTGCTCCTCGTCCGTTGGTTTGCTAAGCAGTGCACCGAACGTCAACTCTCCTCGGACGCCATTGAGGCTAAGGAGGGAAATTCATTTTTTTCTCTCCTTTCTTTCATTCCATCATGAAACTTCAAAACGTCATGACTGTATTTATATATATGCATATGTATGCGTATGTGTGTGTATTTGCGTGCATATGTGTTTGTGTGTTCATATATGTCTGTGTATAAAAATATGTAAATATGCATATATAATTATACATACATACATATATATGTATATATATACACCTATACATACATACATACATACATACATATATATATGTATATGTATATATATGTGTGTGTGTGTGTGTGTGTGTGTGTGTGTGTGTGTGTGTGTGTGTGTGTGTGTGTGTGCGTGCGTGTGTTTGTATGTGTGTGTGTGTGTGTGAGTGTGCGTGTGTTTGTATGTGTGTGTGTGTGTTTGTATGTGTGTGTGTGTATATGTGTGTGTGTGTGTGTGTGTGTGTGTGTGTGTGTGTGTGTGTGTGTGTGTGTGTGTGTGTGTGTGTGTGTGTGAGCATATACACATGCGTATATACATACATATATACACGCACACATATACATATATATATATATATATATATATATATATGTATATGTATATATGTGTGTGTGTTTGTGCGTGTGTGTGTGTGTGTTTGTGTA